TGACAGTATTGACTAAGGTTGAAGATGTGCATACTCTCTGAAGAAGCAATTCTGTTTTGGGGAATATACTGTAAGAAAACGCTTTCATATGTGCACAAGGGGATGTACAAGAATAAGTTCAATATCATTTGAATTATCAAAATAATTGGAAATTTTTATTTATTTTTAATTTTTGTAATGCTTATTTATTTTTGACAGAGTGGGGGTGCGCGCGAGTGTGCCCAAGCCTATGAGTGGGGGAGGGGCAGGGAGTGGGAGACAAAGAAACCGAAGCTGACTCTAGGCTCAGAGCTGTCAGCACAGAGCCCAACTCACCAACTGTGAGATCATGACTTGAGCCAAAGTCAGACACTTAACCACCTGAGCCACCCAGGCACCCCTTAAATGGCCATTAACAGGAAAATGGATTAATTACGGTATAATCATAAGATGAAATTCTATATAGGAGTAAAAATGATGTAGAACTAAATGTATCATTAATAGATAATCTTAAAAATATAATATTAAGGGGCGCCTGGGTGGCTCAGTCGGTTAAGCAGCCGACTTCGGCTCAGGTCATGATCTCACGGTTTGTGAGTTCAAGCCCCGCCTCGGGCTCTGTGCTGACAGCTCAGAGCCTGGAGCCTGTTTCGGATTCTGTGTCTCCCTCTCTCTGACCCTCCCCTGTTCATGCTCTGTCTCTCCCTGTCTCAAAAATAAATAAAACGTTAAAAAAAATTTTTTTTAATATATATATAATATTAAGACACAGGTGTGGAAGCTTTTGTACAGTACTATACCATTTATATAGAGTTCTAGAAATGCAAAACACCTCCATATATTGTTTGTAGAAATCTGTGTACTATATTTGGGGATATCTGACAAATAGTACCCCCTTTTCCTGACTAATTTCTGAACAAGTTGAGAAATCAAACAAGGGTCAGTAAATGAAAACCAAAACATCACCTTCATTACTGATTAAGGATAGATTGAAGACTATGGCTTAATATGAGAATGGTCTTGCTAATTCCCTACTGCTAGTCTAAACTTTAGATCAGTTCACTTGTGGAAGAGTTTGCAGAACAAACTCAACTTTCTCTGCCTCTCAGGTCACTGCCTTCCGTTATCTGGTAGAGAGAGAGGAGAAAGAGATTAAATCTGTCACCCTAAGCACGTATTACTTCATAGACCCACCTAGTCCAGTACTCTGCACCAACAACTGTCACTCATCGTTCAGGGGTGGGACAAGGATCCAGGAGGGCTTAAGGAAAATCACTATTCAAAGAAACCATAGGAATGGGGGAGAGGTATCTTAATACATAAAATAAAAATTGAAAAACAGCACAGGGATGATAATAACTAAATTCAACCTAGTCATTCCTCCTATGGTAGTAGTTCTTTACAATAGCATGTAAAACAGATGGCAGGACCCTACCATTCAGTCAGTCTGGGGTGGGTCCCAAGCATTATTTCTGCCAAGTTCACAGATGCTGCTGATGCTGCTAGTCTGTTGCCCACACTTTGGGAACCACTGCCTTAGGGTGAGGTGAAGAAAAATGGTATCAAAGAAAGGTCAGCAGAAATATGTTATCATGTTTGCCATGTTTGGCTTCTTAAGCTAGTGGTGATTGTGTGGGTGTGATTATTTCCCACATTATCTTCTTATAGTAATAAAATATTTCCACACAAAAAACTAATGGATGGAATGTATAACATTCTGGACACTGCTGCCTTAATACTTACACATCAGCTGATAACTCAGAGTTTGGAAGAGTAACATGGTAAAATCAGACTTATTTGAAATAGGTATGTTAAGATATATTTTGGTAGGTTGAATGATTAACAGTATAGACCAGAAATTGTTACTACCTGTTAACAGTTTTCAGATTTTTCAAATTGCTTCTGTACTAAGATTAGTCACTTTTAATCAGAAATATTTTATCAAGTGTTTTCCCAGTAAGTTCTTCAGCTTAACATACTCTTCTACAATGATGTTTTCCTTTTTATTTATTTGTTTATTGTATTTATATTGAGGTATAATTGACCTAAAACATTATATTAATTGTAGGTGTACAATGGTTTGATACTTGTATATATTATGAGATAATCACCAGAAGTCAAAATCTGTATACATGGTTATAAAGTTTTTGTGTGTTGAGAATTTTTAAGGTCTACTCTCCCAGCAACTTTTAAATATGCAATGGAGTATTACTAACTATAGTCACCATGCTGTACATACTTTCTTTTATATGTAACATATTTCCTGTGAAGTTTAGCAGTTTGAAACCTCAGGACCAGAGAATGTGCTCTTCTTTTAGTTTTCTGGAAACTTCTCCCTTTTAAGTCCAATTTGATCTGGTAAATAATTTATATTTTTCTTTATTTTTTTTTTCTTTTCTAAAAAGTTTTAAAATTTTTAAATTCATTTTATTTATTTGTTTATTTTGTTAATTCAACTATAATTACCATATAGTGTTATTTTAGTTTCAGGTGTAAAATATGGTGACTCAACAATTCTATACATTACTCAGTGATCATCATAATAAGTACACTCTTAATCCCTTTCACCTATTTCACCCATCCCCCACCTATCTCCCCTCTGGCAACTACCAGTTTGTTCTCTATAGTTAAGAGTTTGTTTGTTTGTTTGTTTGTTTTGATTTCTCCTTTTTTCTTTGTTTGTTTTGTTTCTTAAATTTCACATATGAGTGAAGAATTTATATTTTTCTTTGCTTTCTAACTAATTGTCTTTTAAAACTCCTCTTACCTTACTGATTCAATTATGACATGCTCTCATATTGTTAAATATGCAGATAACTGTTAGAAACTGTTTTACTTTCGGGTGCGCCTGGGTGGCTCAAGTCAGTTAAGCCTCTGACTCCTGATTTGGGCTCAGGTCATGATCTCACACTTCTTGGGATTGAGCCCCAAGTCGGGCTCTGTGCTAGGAGTGGAGCCTGCTTAAAGATTCTCTCTCTGCCTCTCCCTCCACCCTTATGTGTGCTTGCTCTCTCCCTCTCTCTCTCAAAATAAATAAACTTTAAGATGTTAAAAAAAAAAGAAAGAAAATGTTTTACTTTTGAATATTTTATGAGCCCTAGAATTTGAGTGACTTGCAAGTTTGTATAGCAATCCATGTATCAAAATTATGCATAGAATGAATATATTTTCTTTTTTTTTTAATTTTTTTTAACATTTATTTATTTTTGAGACAGAGAGAGACAAAGCATGAACGGGGGAGGGTCAGAGAGAGAGGGAGACACAGAATCTGAAACAGGCTCCAGGCTCTGAGCAGTCAGCACAGAGCCCGACGCGGGGCTCGAACTCACGGACAGTGAGATCGTGACCTGAGCCAAAGTCGGACGCTTAACCGACTGAGCCACCCAGGCGCCCCGAATGAACATATTTTCTATTAGTTTACCCATTCACAAAGAATTAATTTTTAGGAGCATTATAACCAAACAATGGCCACCTGCATGAGAGTCAAAAGTTAAGTCCTTAGTGGACATATGTGATATCCTGCACATTCAAGCAGCATCCTATTGACCCCACGTAGCCACAGTCATGATTTTTGATAACTAGCAAAAATGGAAGTCATTGCTGCAGAGTGTCTAGTAAGATGTTCATATTCATGCTTAGTCAACAGGATTGTAATTAATACCATCCCACCTTTCTGAAAAAGAGTGTAGCAGTAGCTGTCAAAAGCTTTAAAAATATTTATAGTCTTTAGCTCAGGAATTCCACTTCTAGGGATCTAGCTGAAAGAAATTATCTAAAATGCCAAAAAAGATTTGGGCACAGAATGCTCATTATAGCATCACTTAAAACATCATTCCCTTGTTTTAACTAATGATATAATCTAAAAATATTCATTTATAGGAGAATAGTCATTTATGGGTTATTTATGGGTAATTATACCATAAAATAGTATCTTTTATAATTATTTTTGATATAAAACATTATGAAATGAGAAAATTCTCAAGTTATAATGCAATGTGAAATTTGAATATGGATACTGTATATATATATTGTGTATATTTATTGAATTTTATTTATAGTATGGTTTCAACTGTATGCATGGAAAATGGCCAAAAGGTTATCTCTTAATGATGGAATTATGCATGATTTTATTCTTTATACTTTACTTAAGAAAATAAACAATAAAACGTTGTTTTAAAAAGAATCTTCTGGGTTGCCTGGGCGGCTCAGTCAATTGAACATCTGACTATTGATTTTGGCTCAGATCATGATGACAGAGTTGTGGGGATCAAGCCTCATGTCAGGCTCTGTACTGGGCATGGATGCCACTTGGGATTCTCTCTCTCTCTCCCTCTGCCTGCCTCTCTCTCTCTCTCTCTCTCTCTATATATATATATATATATAAAATCTTCTTGCAAAATAAATACAGTACTATTTAATGGTAAAACTCAGTCCATATATATTTTCTGACTTCTCAGTTCCAATTTCATATAAAATGCATTATGTTATCTAAGAAACAATTTTGAATATATTTAAAGTGACATCATTTAAAACTCTTTTATCACACCACTCAAAAATTCTGGTATCCTTTTAAAGCAAATTATTCCTCATAGTGGTGAATTTCATACTTAATTTATATCCTTCATTATAAATTTTGTTAGCCTCATCCAATTAAAAATTTTATTGAGCCCTTTCTTAAATAGCCTTTTAAATTTTTTATTGTATAGATTGATTGCCTAAAGCAGTGTTTCTCAACCATTCATTCTTTCATCATCACCTCCTTAAGGAGCCATTTTAGATGAGTTTTTTTCCCAATTGCTCCCCACCCTATGAAATTTTAATATTTGTTTATATACTGTGTGTATAACCATGATCTATATATAAAGAACGTAATATTGTTATCACTCTCCCGAGAACCAAATTTCACCCTATTGGTGACAATATTGCTTCCTGTGAGCACGTATGGCCTAAAGGAATATAATAGAAAAATGTTATTTTAATTTTTACAATGAATCTCAAATCCACGTGTTTTGTTTTTATAGCTGCCTGCCTCTCAAACATCACATGGTGACCACTCCAACACTCCTACTGTGGGGAGAAAAAGATGCATTTATGGAGGCTGAGATGGCTGAAGTCACAAAGATTTATGTTAAAAATTATTTCAGGCTAACTATACTGTCAGATGTCAGTCACTGGCTTCAGCAAGAACAACCTGATATAGTGAACAAATTGATATGGACATTTCTGAAGGAAGAAACAAGAAGAAAAGATTGACTTTTCTGTGTCTTCTATGAGGGATCTGTAATGAAATCTCTAAATAATTTTTAATAATTGTTCATCAACCTCTTTAAGCTTATTAGGAAAAAATTGTTTTAATATGCTTTATCATAAGTATCCTGACAAATCATATTGAAAAAAATCTGAGAATGTGTGAACTTGTAACATGATATCAATTTTCTTCTGTTGAATTTTGCACAGAAAAGCAGCTGCCTTAAAATGTGTGCAATAGTACAAAAAGGAAGTTGGGGGAAATGGCTCAGTTTTGGTTTCTTGCATTCTTTGCCCTGTTAACATCTGGTGCCTTTTACAAATGTAAATTAAAGATTAGCTGTGCCATATCTTAAAAAAAGGTAAACCTGCAATGGTATATAAATTTTCATTTTATTGTTGAAAAGTTCTTTTTACTATTTTTCAACCATTAAAAAATTCTATTGTCAAATCTCTTGGATTTATAGTATATTTATTAGTTTGAAGGCAAATATGACTAGAAGAATATGCATTTTTAAAACAGGCCATAATACTACTTATACTGGAAAGCTAATAACAGGTGATGTAGAGATTCTCATGTATACATACATATGTATTAAACATTGCAAAGTAGAAAAGCACATCCAACAAATTACTTGTCTAAATCTTCCAGCTAGGGGCGCCTGGGTGGCTCAGTCGGTTAAGCGTCCGACTTCGGCTCAGGTCACGATCTCGCGGTCCGTGAGTTCGAGCCCCGCGTCAGGCTCTGGGCTGATGGCTCAGAGCCTGGAGCCTGCTTCCGATTCTGTGTCTCCCTCTCTCTCTGCCCCTCCCCCGTTCATGCTCTGTCTCTCTCTGTCTCAAAAATAAATAAACGTTAAAAAAAAAATTAAAAAAAAAGAAAATGCCATTTAAAAAAAATAAATAAATCTTCCAGCTAAATTGGTGAGAGATTTAGACAAAGGATCAAAATGTCCTTTTGCCCCATTAAGGCAACCAGAATTGAATTCAGTATTTCCTATGTGCACTAGAATCTAAGCTCCACAAGGCAGAGTTTTTTACTGTTCTATTAACTGGCATATATCCAGCATCTAGAATAAGGGCCTGGCTCCATTGTAGGCACTCACATATTTGCTTAATGAATAAATAACATATCTGACACATTGCTAGGCACGTGAGGGAAATATAAAAGAAAGACAGCATGGTAACATGGAACTTTCCCTTAAAGAAGCATACACACAACGCAGTTAAATTAAACAATGATTCAAGAGTAGAAATAAACATTACAAATAAGAATGGGAAGAGTTACAAAATAGAGAATGATACAAGCTCAAGGGAATACTACTCATTCTCTTGGGTTGCTCTCCTTTAGCATGGGAGACAACCAGTAACATTGCCAAATTATGGTTCCATAGAAACTACAACTGTGTTCCTAAACAAGACTAAGTTGGTGAAAAAAATGTATTCCTAAGTGTAGTTCTGATAGTGACAGAAGAAAGTGGAATGTCTCTAAGAATTCTCATCATTGTATCCTAAGCAACTTGTATATATTAATAAAAACCCAATTTTCTGTATACATTGTGCTTGTGCCTCATAATAACATTGCAAGTTACAGAGTATTACCAATTTATAGATGTGAAAATAAGGTTGGCCAATGCCCACAGCATAACTGTTGGAACCAGAATCTGACCTAGATTCATCTGGTTATAAAGCCTCTAATCTTTCCAGTAAGATAACAGGCTCTGTATCTACACTGCTCTTTCTGTTTTATTGGTAACCTGCTGTGCTCCAATAAATAGAAACATTTCTCAGAAACCTACAATTTGACTTTTAATCCTGGGAAAAGGAAGTTATGTTAGTAATTAGCAAATATAGGAATATCCTATATAGCACTTTCAGAGTTGCAAATTTTACAAGGTATAGAAGAAAGCCTGGTTCACACCAACTTTGATTATGCTCTCCTCTTGATCCTTTCTGAAGGGCAGCAACAAAGGGAGGAATAGGACTTCATTGGCAGTGTATGTTGACCCAGTAAAATAGTCCTGACTTATTTTACTGAAAACTTGTTACTGACAAAGGTGATTTTAGGGTTTGTTGTTGTTACTTAATGTCAGTTTGGAATGCTGACTGGTTCATGTGGACTCATGTTAAGAATATGAATCAAATGTGCCATGGCTAATTCCAGCCTATGATAATGGATATATTCTAATTTTCTATTCATGTGGAAGAGTGCTTGTGACAGATATAAAGGCTCAAGGGTGCCATCAGTTAAACTTTTTAGCATGAAGTGATATTACTGTCTCTGTAGAAATCAATTTGTAGGGAGAGTAAATGAATTTGACTTACCAGCTCCCAAAGCATCTCACAGTAAGTAAACTTTAGTGGTAATGGCATTTAAATGAAAAAGTTGTAATTAATATTCATCTATTTAAATTAACATATCCCTAGTAGGAACATAATATGTCCTTAATATAAATGTCAAAAATTATGTGAAAATAATTTATTAAGCATATATGTCAAAAGGAAAACATTTAAAAAAAACAAAAATGATTATACTCTTGATTTGATTCTATTACACCATTTATCATTTTTAACTTTTCTGATTTTAGAGGTAATTCATCCTCATTTCCTATTAACCCACATTATATCTGAGAGTTCTAATTATGTGTGAACAGAAAGAGCACTTGAATGTGGGGAAGGAGTGCGCTCTGAGGGTTGCCCCCAGATCCAATCTACCCACAGCCTGAGACCACTGAGAAGTTGGCCTCAGGGCTCAGCCAAGCTCGGAATTCGAGGTGCAGGTGTGGGAGTCCACCGTGAGTCATGGGATGAGCATGTCGTACCCACCTGCAGTGGCCAACCCCTTCAGGCAGCAGAGGCACCTCAGTTGGTGGTGCTGGGCCTGTCTTATCCTCACTGGGACTGTGCTGGTGCTGGGATGTGAGTCCTGCATCGCCTTCCTCTTCATTGGCCTCTGGCCAGTGGCCACACTTTCCACCAAGGGCGGTTCTGCTCAACCAGCCAACACCACTACGAGTTGGGGGAAGAAGCAGGTGCAACCAGTCCTCAAATTCTTGTTTCAGTCAACATTCTGTTTAGTGGGGTTCCTGGTTAAAGTGAAGGGGGAAAATGCAACCAGAGATGAGGCTCTCATCTTTGTTACAGTGCCGCACTCCACTTTCTTTGATCCAATTGCCTGTGTGGTGGCAGGGTTACCCTAGATGGTCTAGGCAAGTCAAAACACACAGACCCCAGTGGCTGGAAAACTCCTAATGCCAACACAGCCTCTGCTTGTAACCTGATAGGACCCCAGTTCCAGGAAGAATACATGGAATGAAATCCTGAAGCTATTCACATCTGAAAGGAAGTGGCCACAGATCCTGATTTTCTTGGAAGGAGTGTGCACCAATTGTACCTGTCTGGTCACTTTTAAACTAGGGGACTTCTCTCTGGGTGTTCCTGTGCAGCCAGTGCTACCTAGGTACCTAAACACACTGGACACAGTGACCTAGATCTAGGAGGGGTTTACAGGTCTATAGACAGGTTTAGGTCTATATATTGACCTTGAGTCAACTCTTCACCAGAGGAGAAGTGGTGTTCATGCCTATTTATATACAAAATAATCAAGAAAAAAAAAGACACATCCCTTTTGCTGATATAGTGAGGATCAACATGGCAAATGCTCTGAGTGTCTGTGACAGACCATAGTTATGAAGATTGTACACTAATGATTTTCACAGGTAACCTTTAACTACCCATGGAAGATAGTTTGGTGGAATTCACAGAAATTAGCCAGAAATTGAAGTGAGATTGGGGTAATATTCATCAGCATCTGGATGAATATGCTGCAGTTACAGTTGCCTCTAAGGGAGAGAAGATAGGACTTGAAGAGTTTGCAAATTATTTAAAAATCCTAATTTCAGAGCCCTTAGAACAACTTTTTGCCCCCTTTGACAGGAATAATGATGGTAGCATAGAATTCAGAGAATATGTGATAGGACTGACTGCCCTGTGCAATCCTATCAACACTGAAAAGATTCTACAAATGTCATTTAAGCTTTTTGATCTTGATGAGGTTGGTTTCATAACACAGCAGGAGTTAGTTAGCTGCTACACTTTGGGAAGCCTTTAGAGTGCCAGATCTTGATGTTTCCAGACTCTTTCAGAAAATAGCTGGACAGAATTCAAAATACATATTATACAAGAACTTTAAGAAATTTGCCTGAAGCATCCAGAATATAACAAGTTACTTAATTCATACTTGGACCTCTCCACAGCCTATATATATTCATTATCACATCAAGTAGCAGTTTAATTGCTGTATTCAAATGTTAAAGTCAGCCCTGAAAATTGTGAAGTTACCTTCCAGAGAGAAACTATGATTGAAATAAAATTATCCTTTGAGGAAAAACACAATAGTTTTTTACTTTCAGCACTTAACTGTGCTATGTATAAATGCTTGAGAAATATACATTTCAATTAGATCTTATAGTACCTATGTTGCTTAATATATGTTTGCTTTAACGTGACTAAAGGTGGAGAACAAGAGGTCTATTCATAAGGGGAGCTAAGATGGTAACATAGTAGGAGGACCCTAGGCTTGTCTCATCCCCTGAACACACCTACATAACTATCAAATCATTCTGAATAGCCAAGAAATCAACCTGAGAACTGACAGGACAAACTGCACAACTAGAGGGAGATAAGACGCTACACTGAGGAAGGTAGGAAGTGCAGAGACTGAGACGTGGTTTAGGGGAGAAATGGATCAGGAGCGCTGCAGAGGGGAGGGAGCTGTGGTCGCAGAGAAAGGCAAATGAGAGTGGAGCACACAGGGGATCACACAAGGAGAGCACTTCCACAAAGTCATTGGCTGGGAAAATAAGAGGAGTTGATCTTCATGAGTTTTTGTAATCTTTGGGGCTCAAAGAGTGGAGTTTTAGAGATCAGGTGGTGTTGGTTAGGATAGAGCCCTGAAGGCACTGCCCTACTGAAGAGAAGACATGTGAGCAATCCTGGGGCAGATGGCCCTGATGTGAGGATCACCTAAGCACATGGAGAGAGACTATTTGCTTTTCTTGGAACACATCTGTGAGAGGTGGCATTTGCAGAGTTGCCTCTCTGAAGACAAAAGAGCTGGCAGGCACCATTTCCCTCCCCCTCCCCTCAGCATAGGCACAGAAACACCTGCTGAAGGTGCCTAACCCAGACACTGGCTGTTTAGTCTGTTTTGCTCCAAATCCCTTGCCCCTGTGCTTTGTTGTGACTGCCCTTCTCCGTCAAACCTGTATCCATCCCAGAGTGGCAAAACCGTCCCACAGAAGACCAGTGCAGACCCTCTGCACAGCAATTCCCTAAAGTTTGGAGTTTTAAAAGTCAGCAGACTTGGCTGGGATAGAGCCCAAAGGGCACTGCACTGCTCCAGGAAGTCAAGCAACCTAGAGACAGATTGTGTAAAAACAGTGATCTGAAAAATGCCTGAGGTGGGTGAGGGAAAATTATTTGATCTTCTGGGGGGGTGCTTCCCTAAGAGCAGCAAGCACAGAGACCCCTCTCTGGGGACAAAGGAGCTGCTGGTGCCATTTCCCTCCCCCACCCCTCAGCATAAAACCAACTTCAGTAAGCAGCACAGCACTGACAGTGGCTGCCTAACCTACTTATACCAAGTCC